GTGTGTGTGTGTGTGTGTGTGTAGGCGTTAGTGGGTGGGTGGTTGGTAATGTCCTGGGACCCCTCGGCCAAATGCTGTCACACAGCTCAGTAGAGTGGTCCAGAGCAGTCAGTCGTGACCGGCAAGATGGCTGCCACACAGAGAAACAACTGTGGATGGAGCGATATGGGCCGAGGAGAAGTGAGAGAGAGCGAATAGAGAACAGAGTTTTCAACTTCAAGAGGACACTCCCAACATCATTAAAGAGAGTGCAGGCTGGGTTACACCCAATCAAACTTTAACTACTTTCCCCACACACTCCTCTCATTTGCTATGCACTTTACAACGGCTCTTTGAATATTTCAATTCCAAGCAAATGCAGGTTTATTCCCTGAAAGGACAGGAAGAAAGACTCTGGGCTCTGAATCACTATTAAAGTGAGAAGAAATAGGCATCCAAGTTCATTAACATTAGATACAGCTCCTAAATTGGACAAAAGAAATTGCCCTGTCAAAATTGCCAAATCTCATTTGAGGAAAATCATGCAACCGTAGCCATTAGAAAAAGGTGGAGTTAACCACTGCAACCTGCTTCTTCATAACATCCTTTTTGAGGCAACAGTGGTTTGAATTTTGTATACTGCAGCTTTGGGCTTCTACATCTCCAATTCATTCTAGCTGCCTTTGCATGAATGTGAGATCTACTGGTCTAGCTGACAGGCGGGTTCACACACAAATACAGTCTATACACAGTGTGACAGGGAGCAGGACAAGAGCCTGCACAAAACTGAGATCCATCCGAGCCAGAATTCGTGGTTCACGTTTTATTCTGCAGTAGCATTTTCAAGGTCAACTGCATTGTTATTATAATCACCAAACAATATTATTTTGTGGCCAAAAGACAGGAGAGTAAATAAAATGCACTCCCATGGGATGGATGAATAATTAAAGATGATATGTGGTGCTCCTTGCCAGCAGTCTACTTTGAGATTTCCAAGACGCCTTTAGGCATTGTGATAAACTTAAAGCTGACCAGTTCACTCAGTAACGCACACTGGTATGGTGCATACAGTAAATGACGCATCTGGCTGAAGCATATCTCCTTTTCCCTGATAAGATCTCTTCCTCAGTTAGAAGCCAATACCTGTTCTCCTGGGCACTCTTGTGCAAAGGGACAGTGATATCTTCTGTTGTGTCTCCTCCTCGACAGCCTTTTTTCTCTTACAACCAGATCAATTCTCATGCTCGGGATATTCAGCTCATCTGCGTGGAAGCACCGGGGAGAGAAGACAACAGGAGAAGCTCCAGGATTATTACTGGCCGCTGAAGGCAACGGGGGAAGAGCAAGCAATCTCCAATAACCAAGTAATGTCATGGCTGCCTTAATCCTGTCATGCTCTCAGAGGCCACATCCCTCAGGTGCTGTCTGAGGAGGTGAGGTGTTCGTTAAACTGGATAATTAGACTGTACAGCGTCCTGCCTGGGACCAGAACGTTTGAAAGGGGAATTAAAAGATTCAAGCGCACAAGACGTTCCCTTGTTTTGACCTTATTAACCCACTGAATCACAGTGTTCTGCGGAGGGAGGATGATGTCTTAGGAGCAGTGTCAAAACTCGCCTCCATGCGATTTTAAGTGAACACCTTCGCATGTTAGTAATAAGTAATATTAAAATAAGACCACAGTTTTGATTGGAATCCGTCACTACTTGTGATAGAGCTGAACCGATAAATCAATCAAGCTGATACTAGCTTATATCAGATGGTATAGAGTATATGTCTTCCAATAAGTAACAAGAAATTACAGTACAGGAAAGACAAACTGGGTATGAGGTCATTTAGAAACGAAGACAATATTTCACAGTTTGTCCACCAGAGAGCACTGACATGCACTGACACTGACATTTTTTTAAACACTAAAATGTTCTGTTTATCATGTATCTTGGTCAGAGTTCTGTGAAAAAGAAATCTGTGGGATCCTTATCAAGACAAGTTATATGTGTATGTAAAAAAACAAAAAAAAAACAAAAATACAATTGCTACTCTCCGTTGAAGGGAGGCAATCTGTATCCAGGGCGAGAGAGGCAGAGTCTGCCATTTACAATGACAACTACTATACAGAAAGCTAATTACCGAATGTAAATGGGTCAAATGGTTATTGCAGAAAAAATGCCGACAAATAGCATCAAAAATGGAGCTTGATTTCATGATAATCTTATGGATTATAAATCAAACTCAGAAATACTGATCAGTTTTTAAAAAAAATTCCAGAATTAGTCAGGATATAATTTGTGACATTTGTTGTTTAAACAGCTCATCACAAAATTAAGCAGGCAGGTCAAAGCATAGTATTGCCTTGTACTTCACAATATAATGGAGGTAAGTTGTTTACCATGACATTCACTGACTGCATACAGAGAATTATGGAAGGTCAGTTTTTGATATGACCTTTACTCAAATACAACCTTCAGTTTTCAGTGAATGTCTCCTCGGCAGACTTTGAAAAAACTATAAACTAAAGTTGTGCTGCTGATGTATGCAAACATCTGGCAGTGCAGAGGTAGAGCAAGGAAAAGCAACAGTCTTTGTGGTTCTCACAGAAGACAAGGTTGCACCGACTTTACACAGGAATGAGTGAGTCACGCTGCCAAGGTGTTGTGCTTGGCCTTCAGGCTAAGAAGAGTGTTTTGAACTTTGACTAGCTTCTGTAAGAGGCCCTGTACGCCCTCCCCTCCCCATCTGAGTGTCGACGGGACTATTTCCAGACAGAACAAACATCAGGTCAATTTGCTGTCATGCATAAATGCACCTCAAAGACCTTCTCTTCAAGGTCTGACGGTTAACAACTGCAGCAAGATCAACATCTGGCACAGTTTATGGCAGCACGTACACGTCACACGCTCACAATAGAGATGAGTAAATGAGATAATTAGAGAAGCAATCACTTAACAATCTCTGCTGAAGAGGCCATAAATAGTATATGTTAAAGCCAAACACTGCAGTAACAACACCTAATTCACCTTTAGTTGTGCGTCTTAAAAAAACTCTTAAAAGCAGACCTGGTCTACCCACCTCCTAATACCGGGAAGGTGAGCGAGGTGATCAAGGAAAAGCAGACAACTCTCCGGCCACCTGATTACAAACCGTGATCCACAGCAGCCAAGATATTGACCTGAAAGTCGCTATTAACTCTGCTCGACGCGGCTGTAGGGATAGGGTCATGTAAAGGAACACCAGGCAGCGATACGATCTCCTGGAGACAAGAAGCATTCGGGCTGCCTTATTGCCCCTGATTTTCTCTACATCATAACCCACAACGTGGAAGTTATCTCTCATGGACTACACTGCACTATGAGTGGAGCACAGCAGTGTAGGAAAGTCGTCAGAAAAGAGCAGAAACAGAGCAGAATACAAACAATACAAGGGGAAATTAGTGAGACACTAGTAGATACACTAGACTTGGTAGCTTATGTTAAAACTTAATTGAGAAGCTTAGAGGATATCATTAATCTAGCCTAACAGTAAGAGGATTGTTGTAGGAAAATGGTGAGAGAGCATAAAGAGGAAACTATGTTAATTGCTCAGGCTTGTAATGTACATACCTCTTCTCATTCTTCTAATTCTTGTCATGTAGACACTCTATTCACAGTCCATAAAGGTTATGTTTAAAATTATGCCCCAAGATGCACAATCTAACAAACTTTGGAAAGGGGGGGATCATTTTAGAAAAACTTTTTTTGTCTTGAAATGATCCTATATTTGTTCAGTGGTGTGTTTGGTGTGTTGTGTTTGTATGATGGGAAGCCCATCTCCGCAGAGACTCGGGTTGGAGTCTGAAGCCTTTGCAAGATGAGGAGACGAGAGCTGAAGTGAGACAGATCTGCAGCTTGTATGTTCTCTCTGAATCTCAATTTCCAAATCTCCGTCTCTTGTCTCACTCTCCCAGCTTCTCTGTCGTTTTATCCCCATCGTCTTGTCTTCTCTAATCTCGTCTCACTGTGGCTCTACTCAGCTCTTTATCTACGTCCCAGACAAAGCATTAAAGTGCCGAGTGGAGGGAGGGGTGGGGTGTGGGGGGGGGTTTATTTAGTTATGAATATCCACAGTGATAACAAGCACAAGGCAGGACTGAATAAATAAAAATACACCAATTTAAGGCCGAGTAAAAAAAATAATTCTATACAGAATTATAAAAGAAGGTGTTGGTGGAACACAAGCAGCAAAGATAAATTTCCTAAGTAATGAACTGTACCAACCTCAAAGCTTTCATTAACATGTGCAAACACAATTTCTAACACAGTCATTGTGTTTGCTGAAAGTCTGCGTTCAAGACAAGGTAGAGCTCAAACCGCACCGCGTCCCCCTCAGGACAACAGGTGGGCTGTGTGTTGACAGAACGGGAACGGAGTCTTTGATGAAGTTCACTACGGTCAACAGAGCTGTTTGCAGGTGATACTGAGTTTTTCTTTCATCAGTGTTGTAGTTCTGAACAAACGTCTTGCGGCTGCAGCATAAACACAAGCTGACTAAGGCCTAACGAGAGAAGCTTTGAGAAAAAAAAAAAAAAAAAAAAGCGGAAGGAAAGAGGAATCTTAAACGATTCATGCCCTAAATTTAAAGTTGAAATAAGAGATCTTACATTTGCGCTTGGGTACAGTGTCCATGTATTAGTTGTAGCAGGGTTCTATAATGCATGTGTCCTACGTATAATTAATGGTTTGCTTTCTATGGCGTTTCATGACAAGTTCATAGAAACAACACTCAACACTACCACATGTTATGTTAACATATGTTTTGTAATTGTATCTCAGGCTCATTTGTTTTGTCTGCTAGGTTCATAGCTGGTTTCAAGTTTTTCGGTCCGTTAATGCATTGGTTTTTTGATATTTTTATGAGACATCTTGTGGCTAAATTAATAAAGAAACTGTCTTATTTGAAAGTATTATTAGTAGAAGACTAAAGCACCGAAATGTACACACATAATCAGCGCTTTATGTCCCAAATAGAGTCAGACAAACACTTACCTCGTCCCATTCTGAGGTGAAAGAGGGAGATTTCTCAAGCCTCTTCTTTCCAGTGCTACAGTTAGAAACAGACTCGCTCCGGTTTCCCAGTCCTCCTTCCTCCTCACTAGGAGGCGACACGAGCAAGTCTGAGTCAGACTTGGAGAGACTGCGTGCCAGTTTCAGGTCCCCAGGAGGGCGCATCCTAACGCCAGACACTGCCCCAGCCCCAGAGTCCCTGTGCTCCTTGTTCACAGTCGCATAAATTGCCTTAGGGTCACAGTCTGTCAGGATGGCAGCCATACTGGGACGGCTAGGCGGTGGTGCAGCTGCTGCTACTTCCTCTTTTACTTTGGCAGGTTTTCTTGACTCTGGCTGTCCCTGGTTGGGCGGCAGAACACCTGGAAGCCTGAAGGGTTCCTCACGGCAGTCGAAGACGGGAGAGGATCCGTGCAGGAGGCCAGTGAACTGCTCCGGGACACCTGCTCCCTGATCCTGGCTGAGCTGGGAGTTATCTAGAGAAAGCAAAAAAAAAAAAAAGAAATGGACAAAGTCAGCGAAGAAAGAAGACGGTAGTATGTAAAGGCTGGAAAGTGGACTTCTAACTGAGGGGCAGATCCATAGAGCAGGGCTAATAAGAAGCCGCCCACGCAAGCCCTGTAACAGATCTGTAATTGTTTCCTACCAGGAGTGACGGAGAGAAAAAGAGGGAGAGAGAGGAGATGGAGCAAAGAGAAGGCGTATGTTGGCTGGAGAAATAACAGAATTCCAAACCCAGCTTGCAGCCGTCTGACGACTATCTGCTGGTGCCTGACTGCCTGTATTTTATAACAGGGAGTTGAGGTTAGTCATCTTTGTGACTAGAACACTAAAAAGTTCTCCCATGTGACTGATTAAACTTTCATCCAAAAACACACACATGAATTACAAGCACCTAACACAGAGGACAACAAACACACAAGAACACACAACAGAAAAGGACTAAAAGAACTTGGAAATGTCACTGAAAGGAGTGAAACTTACACTGGCAGCCTCCTCCAACGAAAACAACTCCTTAATGAGACTGAATGGCAAGTGCAATTAAAAACAATTAGATTTTCCTCCTCCCTCTCCCTGAGGGAATTACTGCCACCTAAGCCTCTTTTCCACAATCAAATCAGCCACGGCTTGACAGCGGCCGTCGTCGTCAACACTTAGGCTTTAGAAAAAAGAGAAAAAGCCTGTGCCCAGTCCTGCAATCATCTTCCTTTACGCAGCAGTGATGTGTGTTGTTGTCTGCCGTGTGACCAGCAGCTCTCTGTGTTTTCTGCCGTCTAATTCTAGACCCTAATGGTGGCTCAGGAATGGAAATTTGAATCGCCCTATCCTCCAGCAGCCAGACTCCTGACAATTAGCCCTGTGACACATGGTGAAGGAGTGTGTGTGTGTGTGTGTGTGTGTGTGTGTGTGTGTGTGTGTGTGTGTGTGTGTATCTGGACCATCGTCTCAGTCAGGGTGACAAGGTCAGGGTGTTTGGTGACAGCGAATCTGGGGCAGTCGAACCACAGGAAAAGTAGTGACCTGTTGCTACATTTTGTTTGTCCTTCACAAAACCGCTTCTTGCTAAACATGTGGCTGGCTCGGCCGTGCTGTCTTTCAACCCGCTGTTCAAAGAGTGAAAACATCAAAAGAGCGCGCTGCGGAAGGGTTATATCTACAGTCGGGGGGGGGGGGTTATCTTACCACTCAACTGTTTGACACACAAACTCTCTCTGAATTCATCAAACTGCCTCATTACTGGTTCAGGGGCCATTTGCAGCGAGGGGGTGTGCCACAAAACGCCCTGAACTCGCTTTTCACAAGTTGCTGAAGACTTAGACTTAGTAGAGAAAGTGTGTGAGAGAGTGTGTGTGTGTGTTATAAGGGGTGAGTGAGTGTACTGTGCACATATGTCAGGACCACAGTCAAACACCCACCCTCTCTTTGGCAGCTTGAGAGTGTGAACGCCCTATGAGCACATCACTGTGGTTCCAACAATCTCACATGGTGTTAACCCTGGCCAAGACCACTGCACCCCCAGCTCATACATGTCTATGGTGGAAAATGCACACAGACACAATGAGTGAGGTCACCGCCAGAGGTGGAATGTGTATTTCATTTGGCATGGTGAACTCCCATATCTTACTAATGATGTCATGTTTGTTTTTGCAGACACTGCAGTGCCGGTGCTGGATGTCACTCTGCCATCCGCATAGTCCAAAGTCAATATTCATGCTCGGCCCGTGGAAAATTTACCTATTTTTTATTGTAGATTCAAAGGCTGTTTTAATGTTTTTAATTCTTTTATAGCCATTTTGTTGATATGCACACATTTGCAGTAAAGCAGGCAAACAAATACCTCTATTGACAGAATCAGTCAACACAGAACAATAGTCAACAGCGTACACTTACACATAAAAGGACACAACATTATGAGAAATTGTGTAGAAGGGAACCAAACTCATGAATAAAACTATCATTAACAATACAAGCAAACTGTGGTGCTTAAACTGTGTCTGATACATTAACTGTGCGCAGCTCTGAATAGCCGAGTTTATTTGATGCTCACTGCCCATAAATACAGAGGCTGTTATTGGTATTCTTGTCACCAAACAGGTGCTTTCTGTCTTTATCGCCTCTACATCCATCTGTTGCAGTTTCTCTGGTGCACTGCAGTTCATAACAGCAATACAAACAACTTCTCTGAAACAACCATTCAAAGTTGTGGTTGGATCATAGGGAGAATCAAAACGAAACTTTAAAAGATTCACATTCAGTGTGAAGAAAAGAATGCACGACGATTGAACTGAACCCTGGTTAAGTGGTGAACATGCAGGAAGTATAAAGTAAGGACAAACATAACTGTGAGCTATGTTTAACCATGTTTATTACTGCCTGTGGAGAATCTTAGGATGTTACTACTCGTGAGAAATGTCCCTTGGAAACCCTATAAAACTCTAAACAGAGGTGGAAATCTGTTGGGAGACACAATACTCCTGCTGAGAGCAGCAGTGTGTTCGTGACAGATGATACAAGGCCCTGATATTGCTGACCATTCATATATCCTCCACCTGCCATAGAGCGTGCTGAGGTCTGGTCCCCGACTGCCCACGCAGTGGGGGGGAATCAGCTCAAAGATTGAGAACCACATCCACATGAGCAGAACCTAACATTTAAGCTCAGCCAGCAGTCCGGGTTAATATAAAACACAAAAAGAAGAACCGTCAATTTAACGTGCTGATGTGCAAAAACAGAAATGACGAAAAGAAGATGTATTCACACATAAAGCAAACTTGTGGTTTTTGTGGCTTTAGAGAAGGGAAAGAAAAATATACTGTAGCTTGAGAGTCACTGAGGACAATATGCAAGGGGAAAAGGAAGTAAAGGGCCCTCGATGCTTCAAGAAGTGTTTCACATTTGCCTGACTCCTCACAACATCAGCCTTAACTGTCAAACTCAATCACTTATGTTGAAGTCCTGTGGCAACACATGCTCCACAAACACGAGTGCTGCAACACTGAACACTGAACACCAATTTTAATGTTTCAACTAATGAGGGTTAATAATCTGAAGGTCAATTCTACAAATCCACTGGTATGTATCAATATATCATGTCAGGGTGTGTTTCCTTATAAACTAAGATTACATGTCAGCTCCTGCCTCTAAGACAACTTGTCCATAGGCCTCTAGCTACTATTTACACGGCTATTAAAAAAAGGCTGTGTATCAGCAGTACTAAGACTAAACACACAAAAATCAATGCTGAAAATGTGTTAGTTTTCATCATCATCAGATACTTTCAAGAAGCAATGAAATCAAGAAACCACTGTCTCGGGGAATTGTGCCCAAACTGCTTAAAGTCAAATAAGCTCATGTTTGATAGGTTTGTTAAGTTGGACTTAACGCTGCTGCAGTACGTTTATAAATTCTCTTTCCCACAACCACAGTAGGAAAAGAGTTAAACAAGCAGCTCGAGCCTATGGGGGGAAAAAAAAGCCAGTTCCTCCTGTAAACAGCACTATTAAATCAGCTCGTCTGCCATGCTGCTGAAACATGCTCCAAAAATAATCATTCAATAAACATATCTGTATGTGTATCTGCAAAAAAAAAAAAGAAAAAACCCGGAAGCCATGCTCCTCACCTCCGCTGCATGCTTGACTGGATGACGTGGCATATCCAGCTTTAAGCAGGGATGTGGATATAAGATAGGAGTGTCACAATCTGATCAAGAATTCTGTTTCATATTGGCAATGAAATGAGTCTTGCCCACTTGCCAGGGAATGTCAATCAGCCTGCTCCCGACAAGCCAAATCCGCTCTGCTGCTTGAGAATGCCAATCACGCATTCCCTGGCAGCGCTAATCCAAGCCAGCCCATCTCATCCTGCAAACGCAAACGCATTTCTCCCATTTCACTGACATGCTTAGCCTGTGATTTTCAAGTCTGATGTGTCCGGTCCGTCTTTCCTTACCCTCACAGCCTTGCCAGCAGCTGCTGTTGTTCCTTATTAGGTTGCTAAAATCTGAGGACAGTGGTCAAACTCACCTCCTGATGCCCGTCGGCCCGCCCGCCCAGGAGGGTGCAGGGTGTCTTTCGTCTTGCTTGGGGCTCTCAGGTCATTCGGGGCAGTGGGTTTACGCTGAAGTGGGACAGAAAAGAGGAGAAAAGGAGTTTAATTCACGCCTGCCAAATCATAACACGCCTCCCAAACACTTTCTGTGTTGGCAGACAATCCTATTAACATCCCCCAGTCAGCCAATTAATAACCCAGGCTAATTATCCAGCCAGCCTAACATGAAACGAAGATGCTATCCGACTGACTTCCTGCATCACTGTGGCGGTGGCAGGTTTGCCTTCATCAGCCATTATGTGGCTCTGCTCAGAAAGCTGTAGATTAGAGCGCAGAGGACACCATGCTGCTCATTTATTATGATTAGGCAGCTGAGGAGCCGGCTAATCCAATAGCAGCTTGAAATAAAAGATGTGAGCAGATATTGTGGGCAGCAGGTGGGGTTGTGGTTGGGCGGCAGCGATAATAAAAGCTGCTAACTGTACGATAAATATGAAAAGGCAATAAAAAACGATATGATAGGCCAATAAATAGAGGGGACAGGTTTACAAAGACACCCAGTTATGAAGGCCAGTTTAAGACGGCTTTTGCCTTCTGCTGACATATGACTCAATCTCTGACTGCGAAGAGACAATCTTCTTTACTATATAACTCGCTATAGTCATATGGGGATGCTTCAGATATGCAATTCAAGTTTGTGGGATACTGTTTTCTGGCTGTCAAAACTCAACCCATATTGTTTGATGTAGATATAAAGATATAAAGAAAATGATAGATACCTGAGGTAGGACACTGTTGGAAGACTGTATAGTGGTATTCTCATCTGAAGAGACGAAGAGAAGACATGAGAGTTAGGGACAGATGAAAGATTATCACTGAGTTCACTTGCTCGACATAACTTCAGAGTTACACAGGGCTGTGATTGTCAGGAGAGACATTATGCTATGAAAATGTGAAAGTGATGTATAATAAAATCATGTATTATGCATAGCGACATTATCGGGCTACAAGTCCGACGGACTCCAGATTAATCTCGCTGCTGTTTAAACAGCACTGCCTGCGCCGAAATGATAAAGCAGTTTTAAAACAGACAGAAAACGATTCATTTCTTCTAATGCCATCATTTATCCACATAGCCGAGCCGTGATGATGACATCAGCCATTAAACTCCAACCCTTCGGCTTCACTGACATTTTCTACTGGTGCTAGCGAGGCTGACTAAGCTGGGAGGCCCGAGGGGATGGTTTTAAAACATCTATATCAACAGCTCGGGATCAAAATGGCCTCCTAATTTAATCCCATTTAATCCAATTACATGCGGTGCCATTCACCAGCCACGGCTGAGGAGGGTCTGCACATGTACGACACACACAGTGGTGGCACGGGTTGACCGTGTGTGTCGGCTCTCCTGCTGATTGGGACAGAAAGGTTTTCAGGTTGTGTTGTGCTCAGACAACGTCAATGAAGCATTTTGGAAAATGAACCTAGTTTACTCAGGAACGTCTCTGCAAAACATTCAAATCTCACGTAAACAAAGAAATCCTGGAAATACACACTTCTTTATATAATTACTTCCTCCTTTTTGGATGATACTAACAGCCCACAATTACCTTTATGGGAGTAGGACTCGTGGCTGGGCGGAGGGACTTTGGTCTGTGCAGTCAGCAACAACTCATATGTGTGATCCTCCTCCTCTTCCACCGGCTCGCCTCTCTCATCAATACTGCTGTTAGTATACAGGGCCTGCGGAAAAAGAAAGAGAACAGAGGCGAGAAAGGTAAAAAAGATAATGTAACGCACAGACGACTTGCCATTTAGAATAGGTTTATATTTCAGATCCAAATGTCTCCTTCAGCAAGGAAAAGGAAACACTGGAAAACATGTTTCTGGGATGAAAAAGAGTGTTACTCCAACAATGCTTCCTCTGTGGTCAGCCACAGCTCAGACCAGACAGGTTCTCTGATTTTGTCTTCGCTGTTTTTCCACTTCACTTCTCCTCCTTTTCACGCCCCCGCTGCCTGCATCTCCTGCCACGCTCAGATGAATATTTATTAGGAAGTCGTTTGATTTGAGAAGCGGCGGTGAAGAGAGCGGTTGTGAAAAGGGGTCTCCCAGTGGCAGATAATCATTTTCCAACAGCCCCCGTGTCATTGTACTAACAAACCATGTCCAATCTCTCAGAGAAATAAAAAAAAAAAAAAAAAAAAAACTTTTAAAAAGGCAGTCGTACTGTTGTGACCATTCATGAACATTACATATGAGTATCTGTTGTTTTTAGATGGCAACACACTCTCTTAGATCCTCACCTCTGAGCTCACCTCTTCTTCATGACCAGGCCCAGGATGTAAGGAGTGGACCAGGCGATCTTTCTATAAATGAAGATTGGAATATATGAAATAATGAATATAAGATGCAGTAAATATATGGCTGTAACTCATTTTTATCATTACTTCAAGATCAAACTGCAAGATCAAAGTTAAGAAATGCAACGCAAACCCGCTCTGTAGCACAAGGGAGTGTAATGCTGGAGGGGCTTTGCAGTCCAGTCATGTGGCGAGAGGACCACTACCACCATCTAGTGGGAGCTCAGCATTTCATCTCCCATAAAACCCTGCGACCAGCGCTTAGTGATCTGTGGTGTGGGTGTGTTTGTGTGTGAGGCTGGTTTTCAGTTCGGTTACTACTGACCTTGCCAGCTTCGCTATCCGGCCGCCCGGAGTCTCTGTCAGAGGACTTGCCGCTGGTGAGGCTGTCCAGAGAGTGGCAAGAGGTGGCTTCAAACAGAGCCTCGTACGGGCTCTCCTCCTCGGGCCCCAGGGCCAGCCCCGAGATCAACTCACTCACCTTCTCCAGATCGCCTATGACACAGGTCCAAATAAACACAGATGAACAAACAGACTGACAAAGTTCTTTGCTGAAATAAATGAAAGATAACTCTCTATTGCATTTTCCTTTCCAGTGTTTTCTGTTTTATCTGCTGCTACTAGAGCATGTCCCAACTCTCTGCTAAATATTACCCTTCTTCCGTGGGCTGGGGCTCTCCTGAGGCGGAGGGATTGGTGGAGGGGGAAGGTCAATGTCGGGGGGTTTTCCAGTCATGTGACCTACAACAGACAAACACATTACCAACTGAAGTCAAATTAATTACATATATAAAAGGTTAGTTTAGTTTATTGTGGTTTAATGAGAATGAAAGCTGTATATGTTAATGACGCTGTATGTAAAAGCCCAACTAAGGACAAGAATTGAAAATTAGCTATAAAACAAATTCTCTACGCAGCGCATCAGTTTAATGCTTGGTATTGGAACCATGTTACACTGCATCATCCACAGCTCTCTGCTTTCACATTCGGCCTTTACCTAGGACGAGAGCAACTATCTCTCTGCTCTTCTGGGAGGGCATGTCTTTGACAGTGTCCAGCGCTGTCAGGCCCTTCTGGTCGACGATGTTCACGTCGATACCTGGTGAATGACGACAGGAACAGTCGGTACAGACAAACAGCCGTGTGTTATGTGTGGATTTCCGCTGATTAAATTAACTTCACTGTGTAAGCTGTGTTGGTTAAGAGCACTGAGGTCCGACCTGCACTGAGAAGTTTCTGTACCACGTCTGCCTTCCCAAACAAGGCTGCTTCGTGGAGGGCACTGCCTTTTTCAGTCTGAGCAGAAAAAGAAACCAGAAGCATAAGGAGAGAGTCGAGACGAAGAGAGGACACCGATATGCGATGTGATTATTATGAAAATTAAAGCACATGTTTATTTCTTTCTTCTGTTGCAAGGTGAATCAGACTTAGTTTAACCTGCAGCAGTCTTGTTCCAGCACCGTCATTTTAGTGAGATAAACAGTGTATGGCAACTACCGGATTTATGCCCACCACCCGGTCCACCACTTCTCTACTGACAATTATGTGGTTGAAGAATCAAAGCAGATAATTTTCCAGTTCACAGGGCCATGCTAATTGAAACCTGCAGGATGCGGGGGCCTGAAGGACACCGGATAGACATCCCATCCTCCATTCAGAGGAAAGGAGGACAAAGAAAAGGGAAAAGTTTCTCCAGACAGATGGATGGCACAGTTTGGTACAGTGTCAGAGCCAAAGGGCCCACCAGGGGGAGCAAGGCCGGCTCTGCTTTGACACCACAACAGCCCCTCTGCAAATAGGGAGCTTAAGTGTTTTACATTTAACCTCATAGCTTTAATAGGAAGTACCGAGAGGATGTGCTGCAAGAGCAGATTAAGTCACCCAACATTATGTGGGACATGACAGCATATTAAGAAACACTTGCAAACCGAAGCTTTGAGGCTCACACACACATACAGGCCAAAACACACCTCATAGTTGATGTCCATGCCAGCGTCCAGCAGCACCTCCACCACAGACAGGTGCCCGTTCCGGGAGGCCAGATGCAGCGGCGTGTGTTTCTTGGTGTTACAGCTGAGCAGGTTGGGGTGGGCGCTGAGCAGCAGCTTGACTACCTCCAAGCGGCCATACAGCGCTGCCAGGTCCAGTGGAGTCTCAAACTTGTTGTTCCTCATGGTGGGGTCTGTCAACTCCTCCAGCAGCAGCCGCACCACCTGCGAGTGGCCATACTGAGCAGCACAGTGCAGCGGTGTCTCGTTGTCGTTGTTCTGTTCGGGGGGGGGGGGCAGATAAACGGGTGAGAAGCAACGCAGGAAAACAGCAACACAGACACAGCACACAAAGTGACAAGGAGAAGTGAGGAAGGAGAGCAGAAAAGAAGGGACACGGTTTGAAGAATGAGTAAGAAAAGGTGACTCAGTGGAGTCATTGAGAGGGTTGAACCAATCAGTGCATAGAGCCCACCACATTAGCAGATTAAAAGGTCATGAAAAGCACCAACCATGGTGAAGGACATAGCGAGTCCTGGAGGGGGAGGTATCTGGCAGATTGGGGATGGGCTGGGCCTGAGCGGAGGACTGGCAGACATGCATGGACTAATGAGGACAGGTGTTGGGGATGGTACCGAGTGCCAGAGGCAACGGGGCGCTAGGAGAGGGGCAGAGGCTCCCACACAGGTGGGGGATTAGCAGAGACATGGGCCACTGGGACAAGAGGTGAGAATGACAGTGGTGTTGTGAGACCTGGATCGTTAAGTTTTTTCCAGTCAAAAAACCCCCCCCAAAAAAACAGGCTGTCACATGTATGAAGCACGACTGTTGCTGCTCGCTCACCCCAGCACACCACCAACAGCAACCATGGGAGAGTTTCATGTGTGTTAAACAGTCAAAGGGAAGACATGAGTTCTGTATTTCCACAGAGTGAGTGAGTGAACTGTAACTGCTGAGTTAACACTTAAAAGTGTCACTTTCACATTAACATAAAACTAAACAACTGAAACTATTTTTTTTGTTTTGTTTTATTAATCTGACAGTTTTGCATTTAATGTTATTTCCATCAACTAATCTATTAATCAACCAATTGTCGCAGCACTAGATAACACCACAGCACACATACACCAGTTGAATGTCCTCCATTGTCCTTCATGTTCAAAATGTTCACATAATTCATCCAGTACAAAGATGAGAATGATCTCATGCTTGCAACCTGTCATTTGGCAGCATTTTCAAAACTTTACATTGTAGGGAAACATGCTAACAGACAACTAGCAGAGATAGCAGCAATTAAGAGTAGTAATTACAACGTAAACTCAGTAAGTGGCGCTTATTGGATCTAATGACTCGCATGCAGCAACAAGATCTGTGCTTAATAAACCTGCAAACCTCTGGCACTGTTGATGATCTCTACAATGCACAGCCAGCAGGGGGCGAAGCCTGCAAACCAGGAGCTGAACTGACACTATGGGATGGGAATACTCTCCTGACTAATGTACATAACATAATGGACAGGGGGGGACAGTAATACAGAAAAAAACAAGTAGACCTTTAGTAGAAACAAGTAGGAGAGTGGAGAGCATTACAATCACTGCTCTCAAGGCTCTCAAGGTGTGACAGAAATGCAAACATGATTCTTAGCAATATGTAAAACCCTTCGGCTCTATTCAGATAGTATATGTATAGATGGGTGTGGCAGAAAATGTCAGCCATTGTGGGACCACATGCTCTGAGAGTCAGTCATTCCAGACACATAGATCCACCTACAAAGGCTGACAGCTGGCATGAGAAACCCCCCCCCCAAAAAAAAAAACATGGACATGCATGATGCCAGGTTTGGTGACTCCCAGAGGAACATCCCAGCTGTGCCACAGAAAACAGGACATCGTGTGGAGGGGGCAACAGGGCAGTTTTAGACAGGTGTCAGTTGGCCCTTGTCATTGAGACCTACACAAAGACATGGCGCCAGATGGGATCAGCAGGTATCTCCTTCATTGTTTCAGAGAGAGAGAGAGAGAGAGAGAGAGAGAGAGAGAGAGAGAGAGATAGAGATAGAGATAGAGATAGACATAGAGAGAGAGAGAGAGAGAGGAATAAAGGGAGAGAGAGAGTGAGTATTGTAGTGCACTGGCAAAGCAGGCCACAGCTTGAGAGAGAGGAGGCGGGGCTTAGAGAAACAAAAACGACACCTGCCTGTCAAAAGAGGAGGCACAGAGGCTGGCTGAGAAAAAAAAACATTCATCCCGGGTGAACTGAAATGAACAAAACAAATGAAAAAGGGGTTTAAAGCAGTCTTTCTCTGAGATTCAAAGCAAAGTGGCCTCAGCTTTCTCCGCCTGGTTGGTTTCATCAGTTGGATTTGGGATGTGAACACTTGTTTCTTCTCTCTCTACAGTCTTTGGCTCAAAACAAACTCACATGTGCACACATAAGCACACTAAGGGAGAGATGGCCGGACTGCACATAAACAGAACGTGCTGTCTTTCATCAGTGATGTCTTTCATCATCAAGCATTCGTCACAACTTTTTAGACAGATTTACTCTGAGTATTCTGATGACTACAGCAGGCAAACACACGCTGCGGTTACATCAGCATGATTCACTTCCTCTGATATACAGGTCTGCTGCCTCAAAGGTAATCCAAGTAAATCTAGCATACAGTGATTTACACAAAGAACAACTGACTCTGAATAAAGCGTCACTGAAATGTTGTAAATGTGTGTTTCACTGAAACATGAAATCTTAATGAGTGCAACAAAACACACCTAATAGACTGATGCCTCTAAGTCAGTGTTTATGATCATGTTAACACCAAGTGTTGCACTTGCCAGTGTGGTGGTCAGTGCTCCATATCAATGTGTCAGCCAGCATCTGATCGTATTAAACATGGCTGACCAGCCACTTGACTCACAGATAGGGAACAAGCCGCCATGTGACATCAAGACTGGCCTTGCCTTCTTTAGGTATGTCAGGCATGTTATTCACACAGGAGCCTCTCACTGAGGGGAACTCTCAAACACCTCCACAACTTGCGCTTTGACTATGGTTTGTCTTTTGATTTAATTCTTTGAAATATATGCTCTTTGCAAAACATAATCTACTCACTTCATCTCACTGGGGATAGACCAGAAGCACCTTTAGATTTTGGATCCAACTCAAAATCTATGTATTATTCAGCCTCTGCAGGCGCATGAGTTGCATTATTTGATATTCACATGAAAGACAATGAGACAAAAATATCATTAAAGCTATTTAAATTAAAGAACAAACATGGCATGAGGGGAACTAAATATTTGTAGCCTGAATTTTTAAACGTGAATTTTCAACATTAACGTTAGCAGACTGATACCCCTGCAGGATAAAATCCCATTTCAAAACATTGTCATACTAAATTACTTTGTGATTTTCAGTGCAACACTTTTGTATTCTTATATAAGACGGACCGTCACTCAATAAAGACGAGGATCAGCTTTATCTCACCACAGGCCGCATGAGCAGTCAAACAATCATGTACTAACAAGACACAGCTCTGAAGGCTATTACACAAAATGGCACCAATGACTAGCAGCCTTGCTGGGAGGGAGATTAGAATTCATACGGCACAGCCAAGACTTCCTGGACAGTCCATGTTTTTATGAAAATCCTGTCTTTACTGCGGTGCCGCAGACAGCATAAAACCTCATCCCGATTTAGACCTCAGCGGCGCATGTCAAACAAGAAGAGATTAAGATCTCCACTGGTGTCTGCAGCTGATTGATAAACTCTGCCCTAACCAGGAACATCTGGAGATTACACTCCATTGTGTTTTCATGCTGCAGAATATTCTGACAGGGCGAAAGAGAAGCGCAGTAACAGAGAGGACGGAGGATGTTATGATTCTCACAACCCGGGGCTGGGAGATGGTAACACGGTCTGACTAGCGACCTCTGTCACGTGACACGCTGGCTGGCAGCGGAGCGAGGCAGCGGTTACGTCATCCTGGCCCCTGGTAGTGGTAGTAGTAAGAGTGGGGGGGTGGGTGGGTGGGTGGTGGTGGTGGTGGTGAAGGGGTTGGCTGAGCAGCTGTTGCAACTAGTGTGCCAAAGGGCTGCCCATGCTCGCTGCATGCCCGTGTCCACTGTCACAATCGGAAACCCCGCTGGTTTTCTGTGCATCCATATAAAACCATAGATCTCACACGTATGCATAAAAGGGTTTCCTCACCATTTTCACTCCCCTACTTAGCATTTATAAGCTCTACATAAACATGTACTAAATAGGTTTATAACACACTACAAGCAGATGTAAGGAAATATTTAAGTGTTTATTAATGTACGATACTTGTCAACAATTCTAACATCTCCCATGAATACATACTTCATATTATTACAAATGTGTTTTACCATATAGTCATTCATTATCCGTAACATTAACCACCATTTATGGGTGCTCACAAGAGGAGTTATAGCTGTTGTAAACATTAATAATCACTTATGTAATATAAGTAAGTTACAAACCACTTATTAAATGTTTATATGGTGCCTGTAAACGTTAAATTGGGGAGTTCCAGTGAAGTGTTGTCATTTTTATGTATGTTTTTGTATTTGCAAGAGCTGAATGAAGTAAATTATCTGATTCATTATTTGACTGTAATGTTTCACCGCTTTTCTCTTTTGTTTTATTTTAAATTGAATATCTTTTGTTGGGACTGTTGGTCGGATAAATGAGCAAACTGAATTGAAACTGAAACTGAAATTGCTTGGGGCATTTTTTTTTTGTTTTTTTTACTATATTCTGATATTTGATATATATATATACATAAAAATGGACAGATTAATCAACAATCAAAACAATTATTGTGTGTTTCTCCACATTTGTCAAGAGACCTAACCAAAGTGCTCTTCCATTAAATGCAGAGAAACCATAATGTAAATGCTGACTCTGATTATGGATTTTCATTTAAATACTGTCACACATTCCAGAGTAAACAGACCTTGCAGTCCTGTAATGAGATGAATGTCTGACTGGCTTCTTGCCATAGATTGTAATTCTCTGTACAGCAGACTTTTTCCTCCCTTTTACAGGATAGATAAATTTTCCTCTTCATTTTCCACTTGATTAAATGGGACACTCCTTCCAAACATAACTGCTTAACTTAAAGGCCTCTAAGACACAGTGGACAAAACTTACAGTAGATGCCATCTCTGCTCTCAATCTCGTCTCTTCCAGTACCAATTGGCTGCAGCTGACACAGAAGACACACCCTAAAATTTGCATACATGGAAGCATGACAATGAGAAATCCTCATCCTTCTGTTAAATAACAACATGTCCCCTCCAGGGCTCCTCATACAAGCTCCGAACCATTTCTTGGCAAAACAGGGATGAGAACAAGTCCTGGAGGACGAGCAGAGAGCAGAAGGTGAGGGGAGGGGGTCTGATGTGTTGCTGAGGGACGAGCTGGACACTGAAGTGACAGACAGAGGGGATAAATGAGCGTGCTGGCAGACTGCGAGCGCTGTGCCTTCAGGAAGGAAGGGAAACTCTGCTCCACTTGATAATGAGGTGACCAAGTCTGAGGAAATTACTTCTGCTGCTGCCATCAGAAACTTTTCTCTACATCAGCCCTCTGAGATACTGCACACCAAGCCTGACAGAGAGACATGTGATCTGTTTCCGGTCTGAGTATGAGCTTATATGTGTCCACAGCCACAATATCCCACCTCTATTTTTATTAAACCTCATTTATTTGACTTTATTTGAGCATCAGTTTTACTCTGTTTGAATTTATCCAGGGTTATGTGCAGTATGATGGTGTCTGACTTCATGTTAATGGCAGAGTGCCTGAACATCTGAGCCTGGGTAAGAGGATCTCATCTAAACATATATTCTATTAGACATGTGACCTATATAGGAAGATGAAGGCTGGGTGAAAGGTAGCGGGATATGGGTCAGGGCAGACCAACGGCTACATCCTGTTATGGAGCAATAAACAGAAAATATGGTAATTAAAAGAAATTAGGTCAATGAAAACATGCAGCTCTTCCTGGAACCAGGAAAAAATTGGTTTTCTCATATTGACTTTCTTACACAGCAGACATGTTGGTTAATGTTTTATTCTTCCTTAGAGATTATTCTACACAAATATGATCAAATTTGGCATTAAAGGTCTGCAACTAACAATTATTTTCATTATGGATTAATCTGGCCATTATTTTCTTGATGAATCAACAAATTTTAAGTTTGACTTATACATCAGAAAATAGCAAAAATAAAAACCCTCAAAATTTCCCAGTGTCTAAAGTGACCAGTGTCTGACCAACAACAACAGTTCAAAACCCAAAAAGACAATCAATGTACCCTGACTAACCCAGAGAAAAAGATGAAAATCCTCCCATCTGTGTGGCTGGAACCGATTCTTAATCACTGATAATCAGAGTAGTTGCCAGATATTTTTTTCAACAATCTCTGGTTCCAGTTATTCAAATGTAAGGATTTTATTCTTTTCTTTGTCTTTTGATAGAAAACGGATTATTGCTGGGTTTTAGACTGTTGGTGGGAAAAAGCAGGCAATCTGGTGATATCACCTTGGGCTTGTGGGAAATTTCCATGTACATTTTCAACCATTTTCTGACATTTTATAGACCAGCAGAGCAATTAATAAATCTAGGAAACAATCTCCTGATTAATTCTCAATGAAAATAATCATTAGTTGCAGCCTTAAACATATCAAAATAGTTTCTAATTCATTTTCTGTTGATTGACTAATAAACATTATGTAGTGAATCTGTGTGAGCCGCTCTTCAGATGGTCAGATCCTGTGGTTAATGGTTACCTCTCTCCTAATGAGGCATTTGAAACATCATCAAAGTGACCAAATCACCAAGGACACTATCAGTGGGAGACAGCACAGGGGTGTAATGAATAAACATTAGGCTGGCTGGCTTCCTTCCTGGACCAGGATGACAGAGAACTGGACCCGGTCCAGGTTGAGTGTCCCTGACGGGGACCCCAATCCTCCATGAGTCCTGCACCCCCCTCTTCCATCCTCATCACACACCTTTCATGTCTGGCTGGCTCACGCCACACAAACACATCTCTCCACTGGGTCAACTCACCATCACTGTACTACCAATAAGCCCTGACACTGTTACTATGACAACGTCCCACCTCTTCCTCTCTTCAGCAACGCAAGCTCAGAAGCACAAACTGGGAGGTGGAGGGGGGGAGGAGGAGGGGCAAATCTACCCATTTATACAGTCACACAGGCAAGTGTAGCATGGAAACCTCTCTTTGATGCTGATGCAAAGAGACTGGTACTCTGAAAACCTCCTATCCTCCTCGTTCTCGTGAGATGGCTGTCTGGTCCTGGAGTGTGGTGAGAGGCGAGGCAGGATGCAACCTGCCCACTCAGTCACATGATGCCATCAACCACAACCTCCACACGGCATCCGTGTTTTTGATTTATTCATAACAAGGCATCAATTATTCAGGCTCATGACCAGGTAGTGGTCCCCAAACTATCCTGAAAGTGTTTTACATTAAGATGTCATTCATCAACTTCACAGACTCAATGTTCAATCCATCAAACAGACTAAATGGAAAAAGAAAGTAAGACAAATCCACACTCTGATATACGTATATCAGCATTAAAGGAAGCCATCGTGGAGCGATGAATGTGTACACACTGCTCTGACTGTGAAGGTGACACTGTGAGAGACACTGTCCACTCTGCAGTGCCTGCTAAACTGGCATCAGTCTCATGTAGACAGGCTATGACTGGGGCTTCCCTGGGTGCCTGAATGCAATGAGGGTGGTGCTCTAACTTAAATGTAAAGAAGCCTGATGTAACTCTGTATGTACCCCAGAGTAGTCACATAAATGAGAGATGAAGAATAAAAGCTGGGCTCATCCTCCTGGTTTGTTCCACATAGGATTAACTTTTTCACAGCTGATAAGTAGCTTAATGACTGCAGGGTCCAAAAAAAGAACAGGGTAAAAAATTAACTTTCAGATATTTTTGCCTCTTCAATCTGATTTTTCTCAGAGGTATCTTATTTTATTTTTCATTTTGTTTAACCTTTATGTAGATATTTTATTTCACATAATCAGCAGAAAATGAACTTATTTCAGTTATAAAAATCATTGTACTAACTGTAATAAAATAGCACAGTGCTCTATCAGTCAGCAGTGTAGTATACTAGTGGCTGGTTTTAAAGAAGACTTCCCGTAAGCTGCTCCATCGTTCAACCTTCCATTGTTGATTTTTTAATACTCTAATGGTTGTTGGGACTTTAATTGATAGTAGAGTTTGAATCAGTCAATATTTTCTCCTACTGCTGGCTGTGTGGTGCCAGCAACTGCAGTGCCTCAGGCTGCATATTAGACCAGTTTTCAAATCAATTTCACCCATTTTTTCTCACCCAGAGGACAAAAACTGACACAGACAGAGTCACAAATCACCCACTGTGACCCAGAGGGGACAGACTTTACTAAACTTTCTAGGACGTTTCCATCCAAAGCCTAGTTTATTCCTGCCCCTGATCAAAAAGGCTGGTACAAGAGTATTGTAACATGTAAGAAAAAGATTAACCTCTGTGTAGGAGGGCATGCTGTAATGCAGCGTCACTTATGTTAAACATAACAATTTGGAGATCACAAGTGAACATGAGTAGAGAGCCAGAGGACAGAGATGTACTGATAGCCAGTGAAATTAAAAGCCTTCCCATGTCTCTGAAGCAGCAAGCAGCAGCAACAAACCAAACCCAAGCACAGCAAGCCAACACAGCAGTAAAGCAAAGAAGCACTTCAAAAAGGAAATGTTGTTTTCGGCAGCACCGTGTACACACCTTGGCATTAATATAGGGGTCAAAGGGCCCACAGCGTTTGAACTCTTTATGGTCTACAGAGCTCTGGGAGGGAGGAAGAGAAGATAGGCCAATGGTTTTGGTTCAGACAAGCAATGAACAAATGAATGATGATCACAAATGAGTCAAACTGAATGAAACAGAAAAAAAAAATTAATTGAGTTGAGTTAATGAACAATCAGATGTCATGAACAGGCAGGGAGAAATGACACAAAATGAGACTAGCTGAAGTTTTGTTATATCTGAGGGTGGCCTGTTGGATTTAAAAAAAAAAAAAAAGGATATTCTGACTAGATGTTTCTGATGCTCATAAGGGGTCATTTCTCCTCATCCCAAACAGGACAGGCTAGAGATGATGCCAGTTTGGAGGCTGTCTGTGCAGTAAGCAACCAAACAAAATATCAAAACATATGAGTTAAAACAGTTAAAATGGTTAGAGCAAACAAGCACTTCTCACACTAGCATGGCGTCAAAGCACTTCAAGTGTGACAGTATCGGTGACACAGTAAAAGTCATGATGCACTGAGGTTAATGCACTCGTCTTGTTCGAATACAGATCATGCCATGCTGAAACAGAATTTAACATCAAAACAAAAAGTGAGGAAATGATCGACTTCCTGCAGTTGCTGACTGAACCATTAGAGCTGTAACAAATATGCTGAAAAGCTGACTTTAAATTTTTATTTTTATTGTTACTTTAAAAAGAAGGTTAAGATACTCCCACAAAGTCCTGCTGTGTCTGCTGCAGACACACTTACTCTGCACAATCTGGAGAACAAAATCAATTTAGTACTGACGTCATTTCACAACTCGGGATCTTATCAACAATGTAAGTGTTTTTGAAAAAACAAAACCTGGAACTGTAAGATTGAAACCAGAAGATCAAAAATAGACACACACACACACACACACACACACACACACACACACACACACAACACACACACACGCACACACGCACACACGCACTACGGCACTACATCATGCGCACACACACACACGCACACACGCACACAAAAACAGAAGAGAAAACACAGCATCAGACCTGCTCGTTGAGTTTGGGATGTGAAGGTCCTTGGTGAATGAGCAGTTTGACGATATGTTCATCTCCCTTCCACGCGGCCAGATGGAGAGGGTAGCAGCCCTTGTTGTCGGCGATGTTGGTCAAGGCCTCGTTCCGTAGCAGCGCCTCCACCACCTCGCTGCAGATCATTCAAGGGACACGGCAGGTCAGAAAATGCCAAGAGTAAAAGCCACGCTGATAGACGTTAGCAAACAGCCAATCAATAGCTTTATCTTCCCAGTGGGACAATTGTCTGTGAGGGCAGACCACATTTAATGAAGAGCATAAACAGAAACCTCCTACGACACAGGCTTTTCTCCCAATTCCCATTGATCTACCTGTGTCCATTGAGGGCGGCGTGGTGGAGGGGGGTGTATCCAGTGCTGTCCACACAATTCACATTGGGGCCTCTCCAGATACTGTTGGGAGCAGAGAAGGTCGTTACACTTCCATAACACAACACACACACACATATACACACCAAACAAACACTGCCCATCCCTCTGTAAAGTCTCTACATGTGGGTGTGACTGATTCCGTTCTGATTGCTATCTCAGCGGCTGGTTCACATCACACAGCTGAACCCCACCTACACACAGGTGGGGGCGTACCTTCATGCATCTCTCTCTCTCTCTCTCCGTCTCTCTGGACAAACATGTGAGACCACGGGAGTGAGCAACCAGGAACCAGAAAAACAGAAGAAGGAACAAGTAACGCTATCACCAGAGAGCAGCAGTGAAGATGAGCTAATTTGGTCTAGTTTACAGTAACTATGCAACCCAAGCCTGATTATTCTGGGTCAAGTCCTGAAGTAGAATAGACTTTTGTTATGCAGCGTAAGAAATGACAAACAAAGCACTGAGACTGAGCCAAAAAGCACTGAATGGGGAGTAAAGTGTATGGAAGGCCAGCTTCAGCCAAGCACTCTCATTCACTTGAGCTGAACTCAGCCGTCAGCTCAGATTGGTTTGTTTCTTTTAATTTACAAAGAGTGCTGTGGTAAGGGCGAAAGAGAGCGATGATAGAGTGGGGCGGTAAAGAGGGATGGAATGAGTAATTTAAGAAGCTAAAGGATGTCTGGTGAGACCGAGTGCCAGGACTGGGATGTGGGGCTCTCTGAAAGACCTTAACACATCCTAAATAAATCATGTGAGGAGGAAATCCCAGCACTAGTGAACCATATATCTGGGACCAGAGTCATTTGCCATACAGAAAGAGAATGGGAGCAAAACAGTTGGGCCTCACACAGAATCAATCATGAATGAAAAAGAAATATTTTTTTAGAAAAATCTTTGCTTTTTTAAGTATTTTCTCAGCTTTTGATATATTATAGAAAGCTGTCAAAAAAAAAACCCAAATGAAAGCCACAGATTTGGCAGTTGGATAGCTTCATAATTTATTACTGGCTTGGATTTTGATGCAAGAGAGTAACTTGGTTGAATGAAGCCTTTGGAGAGAGTGCTGCCAGTAAGACGAGCAGAGTCACAGGCTATTTGCTGGGAAATAAATAAGTAAACGAATATCAACCCTGGCAGTTGAACACACTCACAGACACGATATGAACTGATCCATGATAAAAATCAGCGTGTAGAAGGTGTGGCAGCAGCATGCTCAGCCTCCTCGTATCAGCTCCAGTGCAACTGTGTGACTTTGCTTCACACACATGGCTCGATTTTGTCGCAGTAATGGCTGTTTTGCCCCCCTAAAATACATCTCCCATAATAGCTCTCAGAGCAGCCTGCAATTACACAGTCAGAGCCGTCTCATTAAGTAAGTATCTTGGAGGGTTCTATAGCCTGCAGAACAATGGGCCTGACAGAGCACAGACACACAGGGATGCACCACTCTACTAGTCATAACCTAAGCCGTTTATTTCTTGCAGCAGGGCTTCTGGCTCCCATCTTAACAAGTCAGGCAGTCATAAAGACATGGCACATCAAAAGCAGGGTGTGCTTGGAGGAAATACTAGGGTGGGAATGTGCTGTGGAAGGAAACGCTGGAGATTGATACATTTCTGTTAAAAAAGGGGGGGGGGGGGGAGTTATAATTATGTCAGCTCTTCAGGCATCACACATGCAAACTTCCACTCCATTCCTCCAGAACCGGTAACCAAATCTGTTGTAAAAGAGCACAGCAGCACTGGCTTGTGCATGGCCGCTGAGCACATCAAACGGGAAAACAGAGACAGAAACAGACCTCTAGTTGCTGTCCTAGATAAAAGAGTTATGTAACGGCTTACAGCAAAAACCCCATAAACAAATTAACATAAACATGAACAGAGCAGCGACTACGACTGGAGAATTTAACAAAATCAGGCATGGGGCAGTAATGATGATCGGATGACATGGGAGTGGTCACATAATTAACATGGCTGTGATTTTATTGCATTGATTGTCATATGATGTAAGTGAACACTGGGACATTTGCAGTAAAGATGTTAGCCTATCTTGTGTTACGTAGAATTTTCACAATGACTTGCTTAGTTAAAAAAAAAAAGCAGCGCAAGTTAAAACTCCATTACATAAGATGCATCATGAGTCATACGGTAAGATTTCTCTTTCATATTTGAAGTGTAAATTTTAAAAGAAAATCTAGAATAAAGGGGGATCAAATTTATGACACTGGACCTACTCAGCGGTCATGACTCTGATGCGTCACTGCCAGAACTTCCAAAAATGTCAGTCAAAAACACAAACATTGAGTCACGTCAGCCACGTGACCAAAGACGCCGAAACACAAACCACAATATCATCTCACTTAGTGGTTTTTCTATAATATTACAGCTCTAAACGGAGACATGGGTGTTAATTAATCCTATCAAAATTATCTCCGTGTGGAGGAAATGAAGCTGTCTGCTCCCTATATTTTTTTTCACCGTCATAGTATTTAAATTTGCTATAAGCAGGGCTGCCTGTGGTAGCAGCTTTAAGTGCAGTCCAAGTGTTATGTCCTCTCAGCATTTTGGCAGCATGGCACTCAAGGGCATGAGTCAGAGTGGTGCTCGACAATCCACTTCATCCTCTTACTACGGCTCACAACCAACCTAACTGGGGGCCAGGGCTTAGGCCCATAGCAGGGGAATGGGCAAAACAGAGTTGATTTGGTTTGGGAGGGGGGCACATTCATGGGAACTGACTGAGGAATTCCTGTTTGAAAGGCTGAGCTAATCCTTAATTTCCCTGAGGGAATATCAGAAGGATGAAGCTGAAGTTTGAAAGAGATTCTGGGGGGCTGTAATTCTGTGTTGTACAAAGCCTAGCCAGTGTGAGAGGAGGGGGGGATAATAACATTTCCCTCTTTTATGTATTCTCTGCATTAGCTTTGCTAATGTTAGTCACACATACTGAAGGCATTTTAAATAGATGGTCATTTACAAAATATGTAGGCTTAAACATTAATCTCCACCATGTTTTTCTTCTGAAGTCCAAATGTCCTGGAGCTCATGCACAAAACAGACGACACTGGAGTTGGGTTTTTAGCATTGATTCTCATTTCAAGTGACTAAACTATAAACTCAATTAGTTGATGCTTTAGAAAGTATCTGTCAGTTAGATTACATCACATTTGTACTGATAATTTGATTCTCTCTTAGATAGACCTGTAAGTAGGTTTGAAAGAGGGATAAATTAAGTAAGATCATGATTACATGCTTTTTAATTATTTTGGTAGATATCGTGATCAGGGCAAAACAGAATTACTAGATCCAGTGCCTTTCAGAGAAAATATTTCATCATTTTCATTTTCATTTTATTTCATTTTATCTGTATCAGGCGTCAACAGCAGATATTCAAAGTAAATGTTATTTACTTAAATGTTGTATTTTGCCCATATGCCAAACCCCTATAAGAATTCCAGCGGAATCAAAAGTCATGATATACAATTACTTGTTTACTTATGGAACCCTGGGGAAAAGGCAAGGCAAAAATTCAGTAGTAAGTTTAAGTAAATAAGAACCCAGGTGAGTGTGAACTCGGTGTCAAATAAACAGATTTGTCCCCCAGCCTATTAGCAGTGTGACCACACTGCCAGGGATTAGTCTAGCCCAGGGCACTGAGCCCAGCAGTGACTGGCGCATGTCAGCCACCGTCAGGGAAATTAGGCTTAATTATGCATGCTGCTGGCGGGTGCTGAAACCAGATGCCCTGCTGCACAACAGCCAACCTGAGCATCTTCTCCTCAGCAGAGAGAGACTGAAGTACCTGCCAGAGCCCTCCAGCCCTGCTGAGTTAAAATCTCTGTCAAGATGCCATGTTAGGACCAAAGAACTGCAACTGTGATAAAGTAGTCCACACTCATCATGAAGACAGAACAGTCTTATCTAGAGATTCTGCGGTATTATTAGTTGGGTAGCAGCACAGGGAAACAAAGCTGGCAACAAACTATACTAGAAAGACAAAAAAAAATCTTGATCAGTTAGTTAATGCTAGTTAATTCTAATCAATTATTGTTACACCTTTATGATACAGAACTCCTGATAAGCCAATACCTCACTGGTGTGGCACAAATGTTAAACAGAGCAACCAGACTCTATAGCTGTGCTCTATGAGGTTGGTTTAAAACACAGCAGTACTTTGAGCTAAATGTTAGGCTCTGCATGCTAACATGCTCACAGTTTCAATGCTAACATACTTACATTTAGCAAGTATAATGTTTACAATGTTCACCATCTTAGTTTACTGTGTCAGCATGCTAACATTTGCTAAGTAGCACTTAACACAACTGAGGCACAAGTGAAATGTTGATCTGATGATGGAGGATTCATCCTCTGGTGACCGCCAATGCCTGTACAAAGTGCTGGACCAACCAACCAACCAACTGATTGACTATGAAGAAGGTAAAGTGTGTGATAATAAATATTTCAGTAAGGCTACTGAAACATATTAATATCATTTCAGGAGGCACAGTGAACAGCACCAAGCAAAAGAGGACAGAAATGATTGAAATTAAGACACTGTTATGGAAGCGCATTTGCAAATTCAGTCTTAACAAAACCCGATTGAGTCTTCATGGCTTATATACACACCATAATGAGCATTTCACAGATTCACACTTCCTGTGTGCTGCAGCAGGAGGTGTGAATAAGATGCGTATGCCACACAGCCTATGATCAGAGCAGTCCGGTGGGCTCCAGCAGAATCAAAATGAAATGGGCATGAAAAGTAGCCAGACTGAAAAGGTGAGATGGATATAGAAGAAAAGAGAATTTGATGGGGCGAGAAAACAAGGAAAGCACATTCAGTCACATTCTGCCGCTGCAGCGCTACAAAGATCTCACTTTCTCTGTTTTGTTTAAAAGAGCGATTCAGTTTCTACTAAAATCTTGCTGAACGGATTGGTAGTTATCCTCAGTTATGCTGACAACCATATTCTGGAAATAGCACAAAACTTCCGCCTGATCTAGTTTTCGTAGTAGAGGGTT